AGGTACACCACTAGTAACTGAACTCCAGGATGAACATTTCCCATCAACCACCACCCTCTGTCTTCTTACAGCTAGCCAATTTCTGATCCAAACCGCTAAATCACCCTCAATCCCATGCCTCCGTATTTTCTGCAATAGAATGTTTTTAACATTCCTTGAATGTTTTTAAGGCAGAGCTGATTGAATTGTGTTAATCCTTCATCTCGGTTTATGGGAAAATAGAGCGAGAATGTAGAGTTGGGGTTACAATCAGATCAGCCATGATCTTAAGGAAAGGTAGAGTTGGCTCAAGACACTGACTAACCTATTCCTGCTCCTTACTCATATAACCAGTAGACTTATTACGTCCCAGTTTTAGTTAGCTGATGAAGGCATATCTGTGTAAACCAAAATGCTTAATAATTTGGCAATATTGCCTGCTCACTGGCACCCAGTTTGTTCAGTGTGATCATTTGTTCTGTTTGTAAATTTGATTGTATAAGTAATGTACAAGCTAAGTTATTACCTTTAACAATATTCACCTACTGATTTGCTTGGCTTCTGTTTAGTTCAAAGTGTAATGTTTTTAAAAAAAAAAAAAAATTTTAAGCTCTTGTGCTACTGCTTGACAAATTTTAAAGTAGCAGTTTTAAAGTATAATGCAATTGTATTTTTAGTTAGTAAACAAATGTTATTTTTATAGTTATCCCATATTTAAATAAAGAGCCAGAATTGTTTTTGCTGTTGATTGCGTTCCTCCTGATGATAACATTTCACACATCTATAAAAATTGAATTTCCTCATAGGTGGTAGGGTGTCTCAGTGGTTAGCACTGCTGCCTCAGCGCCAGGGACCCACTTTGGGGAGTCAGTGTGGAGTTTGCACATGCATGGGTTTCCTCTGCCTGCTCCGGTTTCCTCCCACAGTCCAAAGATGTGCGGGTTAGGTGGATTGGCCATGCTAAATTGCCCATAGTGTCCAGGAATGTGTAGGTTAGGTGGATTAGCCGTAGGAGCTGCTAAGTTGCAGGGATAGGGTGGAGGGGGTGAGTCTGGTTGAGATGCTGTGCAGGGAGATAGTGTGGATTTGTTGGGCCTAATGGCCTGTTTCCCCACTATGGGAATTCTATTCTAGGATGATAAATCTGACACCAAGTTATTTTAAAATTGGCCAGCTACTCCTATCTGCATTGGTAGTAGAATAGTTTTGATCTGAAATAATTACAATTGTCTTTTTATTTATAAAACAGTAGATTGGTGGGTTCAAAAATTTAGTTAATAGTTACCAATATTTGAAATACTCCTACCCGTCATGAGTTTAGTGGAGGCTGCATGAAGTATGCCCTAAAATTTGAAGGGCTGACTGACTAAGTACTGTGGATCAGATGTACACTGTTATGCTTGGTCTTTATTTACCTTGTCTTTTGGACAGATACACACTTGATTCCTAATGCAACCATGAATTCCATTACCAGTACATACCTGGTTTTATTCTTGTTTTAATATGGGCTGATAAGAAATCCTGACACTTTCTAATTCATTCTTGGGATGTGCATATTGTTGGTAAGGCTACCATTTCTTTGCATTTCTACTTGGCCTTGAGCAGGTAATGCTGAGTGCTGTATTGAAGCCTTGAAGTCCATTTGATGTAGGTAGGCCAAAGGGCTCCTAGGGACAGTTTCAGAATTTTGAATTTAGTGTCCGTGAGGAAACAGTGATATCATTTGTGGAGCAGGATTGTTTGCGACTTGGCAAGAGAATTGCAGATCATTATTCTTCTAGATAATGGAGAAACAAGGGTAGCAGGTGTAGAGGTTGTGGGTTTGGAAGCTGCTTTTGGGGGTTGGACTCTGAGAGTCCTCAGGTCAAACTTGCAACAAGGAAATGTTCTGATTACCATCCACTGTCCTGTCTCAGCTGATGAATTGGTGCTCCTCCTTGTTGAACACCCACTTCATAGAAACACTGAAGACAACAAAGGCTCTGAATGTACTCCGGTTGGAGGGCTTCAATGTCCATCAACCAGAGTTGCTGTGTAGCACTGCTACTAAGGATGACTGAAACATCTGCTAAAGACATACCTGCAAGATGGAGTCAGCACCAGGTGATAAGAGAACTAACGAGAGAAAGAGTCTCTTGACCTTAATTGCCTTCATCCATCTACCTAAAGATGAGTCTTTCTATGACAATATTGGTAAAACTAATTACTGCACAGTCCGTAAGGAAATGGTATTCTTCACACTGAAGAAGCACTCTATCATACTTTCTGACATGTATAAAATGTGGATATGGAAGACATTTAGAAGTTCGCAACTAGGTGCCCAGGAGGCACATTACCAGCTATGGAATTGTATTTAACTACAATAATCTTGAGGCCCAGTACATCCTTCACTCTGCCATCCCCATCAAGCCAGGAGATCAACCTTGCTTCAACAAAGCATGTAGGAGTGCATGCCTAGTGCTTTATCAGGCAGAATTAAAAATTAGTTGCCAGTCTGCTGAAGCTATAACACGGGACTACATACGCACTAAATAGTAGAAACTGCATACTGTGGAAA